AAAAAAAAAGAAAAAAAAAAAATAAAAGGAAAAAAAAAAAAAAAAAAAAAAAAAAAAAAAAAAAAAAAAAAAAAATGGCGACGCGGCCAGCGCGCCCGTTGACTCGGCGAACTTCAAGCCGATGATCTTCTGCGCTTTCAGGATCGACCTGCTCGATGCACATGTCGCAGTCTGGCGAGAGAACCATGTACGAGCGCGTTTCTTTATGTTCGGCGAAGACGGGCGTCATGGGAGGGGGGGGGGGAGGGCGGGGGGGGGTATGACGTGACGCCCCCCCCCGCCGTGTGGCTCCGGCACCACAGCCGCGCCCGCGCGCACGACGCGACGAGCGACGAGCGACGAGCGACGACGACGACGCGAGCAGCATGTAGGTGGCGATCTGCCCATTGCGCCTGTGTACACCACAACGCTCGCGTGCACCACACCGCGCGTGCACCACAGCGCCTGCGTTCACCGCAACAGCCGTGTGCAACGCACCGCCCGCGTATACCACAATACTTGGGAACACTACAGCGCCGGTGTACATACACCGCAGCAGCCATGTGCAACACAACGCCTGTGTACACCACGCTGCTTGCGTGCACCGCAGCGCCTGTGCACGCCACAGCGCCTGTCTACACCACAGCATCCGCGTGCAACGCAGCGCTGGTGTACACCACAATGCCTGCGTGCATAGGACAGGTAGGAGCATGTACGTGTGGATCTGCTGCGGACAACTAAAAACCACGCCATGAAAATTCTGATAATCGAATGCGACGTTTTTCCCTCATCCCTCCTCCTCCACCTCCTCCTCCTCCTCCTCCTCTTCCTCCTCCTCCTCCTCCTCCTCCTCCTCCTCCTCCTCTTTTTCCTCCTCCTCTTTTTTCTCCTTTTTACCCCCTGTCGTGCGGCTTGGCGTTGCAACGCACGTGCGCATCTCAACGTGCACCGCAAAATGGTCGATTGAATCGTCCACATGGTTCTCGGACGGCCAGTTTAGCTGGAGCCTCCTGGTCGACACAAGTGGGACTTAGGGTGATGCGGGCGGACTCGGGGGGACTCGTAGATTCCAGCGGCGCTCCTTTGTCCATGAGGATTTATTTTCAATTGTTTTCTCTGGAATCCACACGCGCTCCATTTTGTCACAAGAATTTCCTGTGAAATTCAATACACAGCAATGGTGCTGTGTTGCACACGGCTGATGTGGTGCACACAGGCGCCGTGGCGTACACAGGCACTGCAATGTGCGCAGGCATTGTGGTGTACACTGGTGCTGTGTTGCGCACGGCTGATGTGGTGCACGGAAGCGCTGTGGTGTACACAGGAGCTGCTGTGCCCGCAGGCACGGTGGCACAAACTGACTGTGTTGCACGCGGCTGCTGCGGTGTACATCGGCGGTGTGGTGTACACAAGCGCTGTGGTGCACGCGGGCACTGTGATGTACGCAGGGTTTGTGGTGCATATCGCCACGTACATGTTCGTGCTACCCGTCCTCCGTCATTCCTAAGCATTCCCAAACGCCGCCGCCGCGAAATGTGACGTCATCGCCCCCCCCCCCAGATGATTGCCGTCATCGGCCCGGACTTAAAAACAGGCCCCAGCCGCGTCTGCGCGCACGACGACGATGAGCGACGAGCGACGAACCACGAGCGACGACGACGACGGACGACGACGACGACGACGACGACGACGCCTGCGGACCCGATGCGGACACCTACGCGGATCCCAACGCGCACGGCGGCAGTGCCCGGAGCGCACTGGGGGGGGGAGCGTTACGTCATAGGGGGAGGGGGGAGCGGGGGCCATGACGCCCGTCATGGCCCAAGCAATAAAGAAAGGGGCTCTACTGGCTGGACGTGACCGAAGCCAGCACGAGACGCTCGTGCCACAGCTTGCCGTCGGGCCCCGCGTCGTCGTATCTCACATGCGCGAAGCAGCCCGGCTCGAGCGCCGCCATCAGGCAACGACCACTGATAGCTACATGACGCAGTGTCGGTCCCAGTCCGCCCTGGGGGGGGGCCCCAGGGCGCGCCCCCCCGAGAAAAAAAAACAAGGGCTGGAAAACGGAACCGAGGGGAGGCTGAAGGCGAGGAGGGAGGGGGGGGGGAGGATAACGGGAGGGAACTGGACTCGGGGGAGGACGGGCGGGGGTCGGAAACACTGTGAGGACGAGTCAACCTGGGAGGGGGAAAGGGTGGCTCTCTCCTACTCGTCATCACCCGTCATCGTCACCGCCATTGCCCTCATCCTATCATGATGATCGTCATCGTCATTCTCCTGATCGAAGTCGTGATCATTGCAATCATCGCGATAATCCTGACTGCCATTGACCCCGCACTGACCGTCCTCGCCCTGATCGTCATCGCCCTGGCCGCCATCGTCCTCATCATGACCATCATACCCCTGATCGTCATCATCGATATCGTCATCATGCTGATCGACATCCCCGTCGCCGTCGTACTCATCCTAATCGTCATCGCCGTCATCATCCTCCGCCCCATTTGCCCTCGTCCTCATCACTATTATCATCGTCCTCATCCTCATCATCACCCTCGGTCCTCATCATCACCCTCACTCCTCATCTCCAGATCTCCTCATCCTCACCCTCGGTCTCGCAAACCCGCTATGGCGGCCAATATCGCCAGCATTTCAAGCCGATCCCAGCGCGCGGCGACGAGGGCACCAACCCGAAGCACACGTCAAAAAACACAAAACCTGATCCTAAGCTCAAGCGGCCGCGGCAACGGCGGGCACCGGTGCAGCGCAATTTACCCCAGCAGCGGAGCAGAGCGCGTCCAGGCGCGTCCAGGAACAGAGCGCGTACACGCGCCGAGCACATGCAACTTCAGAGAGGGCGGTGGGAGGTGCGATTCAGGAGGGAGGAGGAGGGGGGGTGCGATTCAGGAGGGAGGAGGAGGGGGGAGGAGGATGAGGAAGAGGAGGAGGGGGGGGGGGGCGGAGGAGGGGGGACGAGGAACGAATGAGGAGCAGGAGGGGGATTGAGGAAACGGATGAATGAGGGTGGGCCAGGTGAGGGGGGAAGGAGTAAATAGGGTGGAGGAAGGGAGGGTGAGGTGGCGGACGGAGGGGTGGGGATGGAGGGGGACGGGAGGAGGGAGTAACGCGCGGTCGGTCGTCGTGCGCGGCGGCCGGCGGCGGCGGCGGGCCGACGATAAAACGGGGCGCGGGCGAAGACGGGGACTGCGAACGACGGCCTGCGCGGCGGATGGCGGGGAGGCGTTGATAATGATCTGAGCGAGCGGGCGCGAGTGGGGAGCGGCGATACGACGAGTATACTACGCGGCGGCGACGACGGATGACGACCGAAACGCGGCAGTTGCGTCGCTCGACCGGGGCGGACAAAGCGAGCGATACGAGACGCGGACGGGACGGGGGCGGGCGAGGCGTCGGGGCCGAGGGCGCCAAACCGGGAGGGCGCGCCGATCGCGCCGAGCGCACGGCGTACGCGCGTGGTGAACGTGGTCTACTCGTGGCTGTACGCGCGACGCGACGGCGGCGAGTACGCGGGGGTCCGACGCGCGGCGTTCGGTGGACTAACGCGGCGGCGCCGTCGACGAGCGAGCGGCGCTAAACGAGGGAAAACGCGCGTACGAACGGGACGATCGCGGGGTCAAACGCGTAAACGTGGCTACCGGCGGGGTGGGGACCTAACGACGTCGCGAACCGCGCGGCCGGTGCGTCAGTACTAGACGGAACGGGCGGCGAGGCCCGCGGCGGCGCGCGCGAGAGGGAGGGGGTGGTGAGGTTATGGGGGAGGAGTAGGGGAAGTCGGTGGATAGACGGCGACGACGTACGACGACGACGACGACGGCGGCGAGGGCGGCGGCGGCGACGACGAAGACGACGACGACGACGACGACGACGACGACGACGACGGGAGGCGGGCGGCTCGCTCGCCATGTGAGGGGCCACGACGCCGCCGACGACGACGACGACGACGACGACGACGACGACGACGGCGGCGGCGACGACGACGACGACGACGACGACGACGACGACCACGACGACGACATTAACGACGACGAGGACGGCGGCGGCGGCGACGACGACGACGACGCAGATGATCGACTCGACGGGCGCCGCGCACAGCGGCACGCACCGTGGGGTCGGGCCCGCGCGAGCGCCGTGGCGAGGCCGCGCCCCGAGAGCGCTGCCGTGCAGTGCCGTCGTCGGCGCCGTCGTCGTCGTCGCCGTGGCCGTCGCCGTCGCCGCCGTCGTCGACGTCGTCGTCGCCGTCTCCGCCGTCGCCGCCGCCGCCGCCGTTGCCGTCGTCGTCGTCGTCGTCGTCGTCGTCGTCGTCGCTGTCGTCGTCGCCGTCTCCGCCGCCGCCGCCGCCGTCGTCGTCGACGACGTTGTAGCCGTCGCCGCCGCCTCAGCGCCTCACAGTCTTGCCCGTCTTGCTAGTCTTGCTGCTGGTGCTGACGGCGCTGTTCTCGCGGTTCAGCGTGCGCTTCTTGCACGGCTCGTGCTGCGAGCCCTCGAGGCCCTGGGCGCGGGCGAGGGCGGAGGCTCGAGGGCGAGCGACGAGGGAAGGGGGGCGGGGCGAGGAGGCGGGAGGGGAGACGGGGGGAGGGCCGAGGGGGAGCGAGGGTAGATACACGAGCGAGGAGCGAGAAGGGAGAACGAATGAAGCAGGAAGGAGGAGGGAGGGGCGACGCTGGAGGACGGGCGAGGTGGCACCCCAGGGACTGCCCCCCCAAGACACCCAAACATACCAACGCGGCCTCGGGGCGCCACCAAGACTCCACCTCCGCCCTCCCGCCGCGCCCTCCCCCTCCTCCGTCCTGCCTCATCCGCCCTCCCTCATCGCCCCTCGCTCTTCCGCCCCCCCTCATCCCTCCTCGCCCCCCTCCCCCCGCGCATATCACTTCCCGCCTTGTCCTCCATCCCCCCTCCATCAACGCTCATGCTCGAGCCTCCGTCCTCCGTCATCCTCCCACCTCCCTCCTCATCATTCCTCACCCCTCCTCCCCCACGCATCCCCCTCCTCCTCCTCATTATCAATGTCCCCGCGGCGCCTGCTCGGGGTCGATGCCGAGACTGCTGATCGAGCTCGGGCCCTTCTGGATGACGGCGTCGGTGTGCTCCTTCATGATGGTGTCGATGCTGCCGTTCACCCACTCCTGGACCTGCTCCTTGAGCATCTGGATCATGGCATCGCTGGGGCCCTGACCGCACTGGAAGACGCGCTTGAAGCTGTGGACGCCGTCATGGTCGTTCAAGATGCTGTGGATGTCGTTGCGCACGTTCATCACTGATACGATCCGATCCCTGTCCAACATCGTGCGCATGTTGGAGATCTTCGCCAAGTCCCACTTCCCCTCGTCCCCGCAACGGAAGAAGGCGCCCTCGTTGTCGTACTGCGAGAAGACCGCGTGGCAGCTGCGGTCGATCCACCAGCCGCCGTAGTAGAAGCCCCTTGTCGCACTTGCGCCCGCCCGCGGTGCCGCACAAGACCGTGTACAGCCACTGGTGCAGCACATCCCTGGTCGGGACCTGGATCTCACCCTTCGCGCCAGAGCCGCCGTCCAGATCATCGCGGGTCCAATGAGGCCCGCGCACCACGATCGAGCCAAAGTCGGTGGGCGAGGCAACCGAGAGAAGGCACGCGTCCTCGAGCTCCTCACGGGAGGCAAGGGCGAATGCCGCTGCTCCTCATCCCAACCACCATCCTCCATCATGCCGCCAACCCTCCTCACCACCAACTCCTGCCTCCCCCGACTACACAGCCTCAGCACCCCCCGTTGTCCCCATAGCCCGCCCCGTCACACCCCCCATCCACCCTCCTCCATCCTACCACCCGCCCTCCACCGCCCCCTCCTCCCGCATCCCCCCAACCGCTCCATCCTCCCTCGCCCCCCGCCCCTGATCCCTCCCCCTCCGCTCATTCCCCCCACCCCCTCGCCGCCCCGCCACGCCCCCTCCGCGGGGACGGCGCCCCTGAGATCCAACGGGCAACGCCTGATAGATCCAAGAGCGGTGGGTTTACCAGGCGACTCCCCCGTGGTCCTGGACGCTCATGGAGCTCTTGTACTCTACGAGAGAGCCCTTGGAAGAAAACATATCTGCTGGCTGATCGAAGTCTCAGCCTCCAGCCTAAATGCTTACGGGCCAGGGGTGGATGGGTGGGCGCAGGAACTGGCACGGAGAATGTCGCGCCGCTGGCGGGGGATCTAAATCCCCGCAGTCCCGTGGCGGGGGTCGGAGGTAGCCTGAAACGGTTCATCAACACTCGCCCTAGCTTCCCCGTCGGCGTGGTAATTACAACTCCCCCGAGCCCCCGACCTCCGCGATCTGGGCCTGGACGGCACGCCCCCCACCCCCCTCAGCCTCCTCCTCACCCGCGTGGCCCGCCACGTCGTCACACCCAACTCGTCATCATCAAAAAAAAAAAAACCCAAAACAAAAAACAAAAATCCACAAAATCAACAAAAACTCAAAAAAAAGCAAACACAAATATCACAAACCACAACAAAACACAACAGAATCACACAGGATCAAACACAATCAAGAACAAGACAAAATCAACAAACAAAATGCAACAAAAAAACAACAAAAAAACAAAAGCGTAGGAGGGCGACAAACAAAAAAAAATCAAAAATCAAAAACACAAAATCAACAATAGCACCCTGCTATCTCTGCCCTGTGGCCCTCCACCTATGCCTTCCGTGCCAGAGACCGCCGCGAAGGCAGTTGGCCCCTCCGCTTCAGTATACCAAGCACTGCCCGACTCCCATGACAGGCCGCCCGCCTCGGGGGTCGTTTCAGGACGAGCTGGCGAGAATGAACAACATCGAGCCCGCCCAGGGCGCGATGGGCAATGGAGGGCCACGCGCCGCGGCAACCGATCGAGCTCTCACCAAAACCACACCGAGGCGCGAGCGGAGCACCATATGGAAACCCGCTCCGCCATATCTAGCGACGGATGCACCCGACATCTGTTTTCTGACGCTGCACGCGGAGGGCAAATCAGGTATCAGAGAAGAAGCCCCCCAGTCGGGGGGGGGGATATTAACCCAGCACAAGCTGGGAAAAAAAAATGTCGTGCCGCTGGCGCTGGTGGCGGCTGCGATGACCAGGGTTACGCCCGCCCTAGCCACCTCCAGCCTGGCGCCTGAACGGTCCAAGAACAGCTTCTCCCCTTAATGTGTCCCCAATCCTGCCCCCCGTCCCCCTTGGGTTCAAGCGCCGTCGAAAAGGCCAGAGATTGGGCACGCAGTGCGGTGCAACTCGTGGTGCGCCAGCCACTGGATCCAGGCGCGGCGCATCGCCGCCTTCAGGGCCGCGAACGAGTCGCCGCCGTGGTCCGACCAGTTCTCGTGGTTGCGGGTGTAGTCCATGACCTGGAAGTGCCACCCGCCCCGCGTGTTGCTCCGCCACGCGTGGCTGTCGGGCGGCAGGAAGGCTTTCGCTTCCGATTGTGGAAGATCATTGTCAGCAGTAGGGTACTTCTTCGGAAACTTCCGCCCGTACAACGGGTGCTTCTTGGAGGCCGTGCTCGCGGGGGGGGCGCCGAGAGTCTTGGCCTCTGGGGGAGGCGCCCCCGACGGCCCCTGAACTCATCGGGGGCCCCCTTCGGGGCCTTGCCTACATGGGCCCATCATGGGCCGTGCCCCCCTTGGCCCCCTCAGGGGGCCCTGGGCCCCTGGGGGGGGGGGGGGGGCAGAACGGTGATGGCACTCCTATATGCGGCAGGATAGACGCCGCCCGAAAGTTACTGGGAGCCGAAGCCACGAGAACCCCGAAGACAAACGAAAGCCAACCACGCGCGAACTACGGCCCCACGCGGGAGACCGCTATTGAAACCACACAGGGGTTCTAACATCGCACGGCGCCAAGTAGGGCCGCAGCAAAGCTGGCACCGACCCCCTGGAACGCAGAACACATGCGAGAACTGATACCAGACGCAGGCCAAACGCATCGGACCTCTGGGACTACATGCGCCCAACGGCGGGCGGAATCAAACGGGCAATGCGCGCAGAAAAGAACGCCGAAAGCGACGGGGGCCGATCGCGCCCCGACGGCAGACGACAACCGACAATGCAATATTGCAGAGGGAGCAATACTGCAAGCCACAGACGGTGGCCGAGGCCCCACGGCAAGCGAACCCACGCGAAGTAGCTGAGACCAACCACATCTCGAACGCAGGCGGAGAAACGCAAATAAACCATGCGCCGACCGAACGCCGACAACCGACAGATGCGGATGCACAACGAACGAGGGCGGAACGCAAACGCACGCCGAGCAGGAATGCGCGCCGAGGCACGGGGGCGCGACGCGCGACAGAAGCGAAATGGCCGACGACGCGCACAAGACGACGCGAACGCCGCGAACTCCAGAAACCAGAAAACAAAAATACCACAGGGCGCATCGTAGCCAACGCCGCTCGGGCTCGAGACTCGCCCGAGTGCCGCGCACACACGAGCGAGCAACACAAACGACAGACTGACAGGCATGAACCGAGCGCCGCAAAAAAAAACAACAACAAACAACAAAACACCTAGACAACGCGGCATCTGAAAGCCCGAGAGGGGCGAACGCGACTGGATTCTGACAAGCGCGAGCCCAGCAACTGCCGCAGCAACAAACGCGAGACCAACCGCCAGCTACAACGCACTCGCGGATAAGAGTGAGGGGGAAGAGGCGCGGGCGAAGCTATCCACCCAACGCCCGCCCGCCACCCGACCACCGCCCGCCCGCAACCACCCGCCACCCACCCACCACCCACCCACCACCCACCCACCACCCACCCACCACCCACCCACCGCCCACGGCCCACCCGCCACCCACCCATCACCCACCACCCACCAGGGTGGTGTGTGGGCGGTGGGTGCATGGTGGGTGGGCGGTGGGTGGGTGGTGGGTGGGTGGTGGGGTGGTGGGTGGGTGGTGGGTGGGTGGGTGGTGTGGGGGGTGGGGGGAGGGGGTGTGGGTGGGTGGTGGGTGGGGTGGTGTGCAGGTGGTGGTAGTGTAGTGCGTGGTGGGTCGGTGGGTGAGTGGTGGATGGGTGGTGGGTGCGCGGTGGATGGGCGTTGCGCGGGCGGTGGGCGGGCGTTGGGTGGGTGGTGGGTGGGTGGTGGGAGGGCGGTCGAAGGAATTGCCATCCAAACCGCCCACCCGCCCACTCGCCCGCCCACTACCCGCCACCCGCCCACCACCCGCCAACCACCCACCCACCATAAACCACAAACCACCCGCCCACCACCCACCACCCACCCACCACGCACCCACCGCGCACCCCCCACCACCCGCCACCCACCGCCCCCGCGCGAGGGAAGCGCGACCGCTTGCAGCGCGGCGGCCTGCAGCGCAACAAAGAAAGCCACAAGAGTGCCCTATGGGGGGGCCCGTATTGCCGCATGTGGGCTCCGAGAGGGGGCCCGAGAGGGCTCCAAGAACCCCCAAAGACGCCCCGCAGGGGTGATGGAGGGGAGGGGGGAGGGGGAGGGCAAGACACGACCCTTGTCATGGAACCATATTGGGGCCCTGTTGAGCCGCTCTCAGTTGCCCCCAGGAGCATGGTCGGGCCCCTCCTGGAGCCCCCATAAGGGCCATCTCGGGCCCTGAGAAGGTCTCGCGAAGGCCCGTCCCCCCCACACACCACCGCCACAAAGCCTTCGCAAGCCTTAAGACGGGCCCAACATGGCTCCAAGAGCGCCTCACAACTCCTGCCCAGGAGATCCCCAGGAAAGTTCCGAGAGGGCGTCAGGAAGCCAGAACATATATGTGGAACCGATGTCGCTCTTTCCGCTAGTAATGCGGCCCCTCTGGGTGGGCATGGGGTGGGCGCGCGGGGCCCCGCGGGGCTCTCTTGTGGCATTCGTGGGGCCATCTCGGTGCAGACGTTGAGCGTTCCTGGGTACCTCTTTTGGGCCCCCGTCGGGGTCTCTCGAAGCCCCGAGTGTGCACCGATACTCCATACCTGCCCTCTTGGCGTATATGGTTGAACGAATCAGGTCGTCCAACGTCAAACTGCATCCCATCCTCCCCATCCTCCCCCGTGTACTGCACAGCAACTCCTACAAGTCCATGCAAGGGGGGTGGGCAACGACTCCGCGCCGACCCTGAAACGCCCTTCAATACACCGCCGAGCGGCCCTGCAATACCCTGCACCACCCTGGAAGCAACGTCCCTGATGCAACGCATTACTATGCAAACCGACCGCGCAATGCGCTGGAAAACCATGATGTACCCTGCAAGCGGCCCCGCAATGACACGCAATGCCCCTGCACTCCATCTAGCCCTCTGGGCGCATATCGTTGATGGGAGCCCCCTTCCCTGGTGGGCTAGCGGGGGCTGGTTGGGCAGGGAGGGGGGGGGGGGGAGATGAGGGCGGGGGCGACAAGGGGCGGGGTCGCGAGCTGCGGGGGGGAGGCCGAGTGGGGAATTGGAACCGCCTTGAACTTGCTGAGGTCCTTCCGATAGTTCGCCCGATGGGCGATGCTCTCCTTTGCCGCCTTGATCTCGCTCATCACGTACTCGGCGGTGTCCTTGTCGAAGTGGTGGGTCACCCACTCGCTCTCGACGAGGTCGTCGAGGGACTCCTCCGACCGCTCGTACGCGAGGTGGCGCATGTGCATCATGTCGATAATCTTCTGCTGCGTGCAATTCGGGATGAGCTT